GCTGATGAAGATACTAAATAATATTGGTCCCGGTATGGACCCTCAAGTGACATCACTCCTTACTGGTTTCTGCTTGGACTTGGTCTGTAACTCCATCCAGCAGTTCTTTATCCATCTAACAGTAATCCATCAAGCCTGGATCTTGCCAGTTGGTGGCAAGAATGTTGTGTAGGACTGTATCAGAGGCCTTACAGAAGTCCAGGTAGATGATATTCATAGTTCTTCCCTGCCCATTGATGCAGACACCCCACTGTAAGAAGGCCACCAGATTAGTCAGGCTTCAGGTGCTTCAATCTTGTTACCATACATAAAATCTTTTTTTCTTCCACGTTTCTACTTTGCATCCTGCCTACAACCCCAAGAAAAGGTTGGGGCTCGAAGTGCAGAGTGAGGCCTGAGCGAGGCCTTGATTTTGACAGAGCTCAGATTAGACAGTTTTTATTTTTTGTCTTCTAGAATTCAACAGACACTGGTAAGCTCTCTGTCTTTTCTTTTAGCTTTTTCCTAGTATGACAAGATCTACTCTGTTAAATACTGTTTTCTCTGGTCTGAGTAATAGGACGGTGTTTCCAATAGCAATTGGTCCTGGTCAGCCAGGGAAGAATTGGAAATGCAGAGGTGAATGGAGTTCCCTCCTGGGTTCAAGTGTTCACATGTAAATTCTATCCTGGAGAACACTGCTTTTGTCTGACACTAAGACTTGCTGCTAAGGTTCAGATTTGGAGTGTGACAATTTTAGGGGTGTGAATAGTTGAATCTAAACAAGTAACGAAGCTAGGACCAGTTCCTTGTTAAGTGATGCAGCGTGACTGACATCCAAGTGCCTAACCTGTCTTTTTCTTCTTTTTTCACAGAGTAGCTGTGGCCAGACTGTGTTGAAGATGAGTACTAAGACAGCTTGCCCCATAATGCTGCACCGGGGCACTGTCTGGGAGAGTGCTAGTTGTTGTGGGCCAATGTGAAGGACAGCTATGCTAACAGGTAATTTGGGTGACACTAGGTACTGTTCAAGCTTGTACCATGCCTCTGCTTTGTTTACAAATCCAGTCAGCAAGACTGCTTTATAGCCCGAGAGCCTGTTTAATGTGAACATGCAGGATGGATACAGCCTGAGCGATGTAGAGATGTGATGCGTCTAAAAGTGGGATTTAAGCTTAATGTGTCTGAAGCCTAAAACTGGGATACAGAAGAAGGCTTGTGTTCCAATAGCTGTGAAGTTCGCAAGATGCTCAGTCACCCGGTGCCAGCGCTGCTCAGACTTTGCAGAGCTGTAGCTGGAGGCACCAGGCAGTCTGTGTGGCTGGGCATGACTTCGTATGTGTATGTACAGAAGACTGGGGCTAGTATCTGTCATTTAGTGCTCATAGAAACAAACACTGACAAGAGACAGACCAGAAAGGATGAGAAGAGCATTAGGTACTGAAACAAGATTCGTTTATTTCAGTGCAGTACAAAGAAATAGGAGTGAATTTGCTTTGAATGAAAGTACTGAAACTAAAAAATGAAGCAGATGAAATACATTCATGTAGTACTAGGAATCCTTGGGTATCAAAGCAGTGAAAAATTATAGCTATGATGCTGCAGCATTAAAATAAATATATACATAGCTTTAAACTAATGCATTACTTCCTTGATTTAGTGTTATGTTATTGGTTATATTATATAGTTTCCAGCAGTATAAAATACTACCACTGACAGTGCTGTCTTTAGCCATCAGTCCTTCAGCCAGGGATTTCCTTACACTTAAAACGCACTGGTACAGCAGCAACCCTCTGTACCAAGCCACCTCTTCAAAACCTCAGCAAAACCAGAGTCAGCCTCATTTTTATTTTTTTCTTCAAAAAGAATGAATCTGCTCAATTCTGTTAATTACATTGAACTTTGGTTACCTATAATAACAATGCAAACAGTGGGCCCAGTTCACAATCAAATAACATTAACTCATTGTGTTAAGATCTTGAGAAAGTATTGTTTAAAGAAAAAAAAAAAAAGATTGCTACATAGTCATCCTGCAGCACCAAACACAATAGTTGCTCAGTTTTGGAGTTTTTCACTTAGAGCACTATTTTTCAACTTGAATCAGGACAGGTAATTTGTTTTCCTAGTAAATGCAGATGAGTTACATTTTCAAAGGTATCAAAACATACTGACGTAGTGGTTTGCAGCAGTCAACAGCCCCGTTTACAGACTCAGTGATTTTCTTTTTAATAAGTAAACATTAATTACACAGGTATTGCTGTGAACCAAGCCCATTGTCTAAAGGAAGCACATTTCTTGCCAAATTAAGTCTTTACATAAGAACATGTTTTTTTTATAATGGATTTGGATAGCTGCTGTGTAAGTTATTAAAATCATGTGTCTTCCTGCTTGCACTTTGTGCCAACACAAAAAATGCATAAACATGCAGTAAAATGTAGCATCATTTAGAAAATAATGTGTAAAAAACCCATTCAATATTTTATATTAAAGCATTTTACACTGCATAGGCATTCATATAAGGATATAGTATACTAAAATTCATCAAATATACAAGCATGCAGCAGTTGCCTTATATTCACAGTTCTAGAAATGACCACACATCGATTTCTTCAAATATAAATTGGAATATCTAAAATAGATTTTGCAGCCACTCCCCTTTGCAGTGGCTAACTATGTTCTCGTGTGCATTGCAGATGCTGACCTATATAACAGGCCTAAGCTATGCTGCTGTATTGTACACATCTGTGATAAATACTGTGTTTTGAAATAGGAAGGATAATGAGAAGTTACCCAAACTTCTCGTAGTAGAACTTGGAGACTACGCAGTGCTTGAATTGAACAAAATATATAAGCATATTTATTGTATTCTCCTTAGAGAGTAACACTGCAACCTTGCCACATATCTAGCTACTGCATAAGCTGGCCATGCAGTTTTCAAAATAAGTTTAGACAGATTTTTCTATTTGATATTTTATTCCATCAGCAGAGGTATAGTAGTAAACTTAAATAATACCTATCCTTTTTGCTCTGAAGACTTTACAAAGGACTCCTGCTACTTTTAGATTGTGTAAGGAAATGCAGTGCAGTAGCAAAGTCACAGAGATTTAAAATATGTTTGCAGAGAGGTCTTCTTTCTTCACTTACTCTTCTGAAGGTGGTGGTGTTATACAATGGTGAGCTTGGACCACCTTAACTGTCACAAGATCAGAGTACCCAGATAGACCCCCCTTCCTGTGGCCAAATGCCACCTGGAGGGTAAAGTTGAGGTCATGTGGCTTGAAGTTGTGTGTGGTTTTGACTTGCTTGTTATTGCCTAGCTTGGCAGGTTAACCTGGTGTGTGATTCCAGGACAACAGTGAACAAAATACCTGGGGGCAAGGCTTGTGTTAGTTGTGCAGAGTTTGCAAAATTGGGTTCTAGATCCTAATGCAGGTTTCAGACATGCCAAGGAGAAGTCGGATTGAGGAGTATGACTTAAAACCCTTTCCCCATCTAGGTATTTTTCCAGGAGTGCCTGCGTTCTGCTTTTTCCCTGGCTCCCCTTGTCTTCATACATAGTAGTTTGTGTGTCTTTAAGCAACATGTGTGGGTACGCCCTTCTGAGAACTTCAAGTAAAGCTAGCAGAAGTAACCTTGTCGGATGTTACAGCACCATCCATGCAAGTTGCAGGGATTCATCCCCATGTACAAAGCAGCAAGGGATTCAGAAACAGTATTTAGGAAATGGCTTGAAAAGCAAAGAAAAGGACAAGAGGCAGAGGGGGAGAGAATACAAACGTTTGCCAATGAAAAAAGGGAGTGAGGAAGGGGAAAAGAGAATTGGGGCAGTGGTTGCTGTTCTCTCTGTTTAAAAAAGAAAAAGTACAGTCCTCTCTGGAATGTTCAGTTCAGAGAGAAACATTGCCCTTTGTTTCTTAAAAAAGTGAACTTTGCACACATGTAATGTGGGAATGAAAAGGTGAGTAGATGGCTTTGGTATGTGCTGTCAGAAACTGGTACATTAATGGACTTCTGTGCTGTGGCCAGGAGTTTACTTTTGTAGTTCATTATTTTGAGTCTTTGCGCATGTTCCTGTTTCTTAGCAAAGGCTATGTGGCTGTTTCTGGAAAGAGCTATACTATTTTCTGTCAGTCCTATTTAAGAGTAGGACAGTAGTGGAACAAGTCATTGCACTAGAGAGGTTCCAAGCTCTTCGGCACAGATACTCATTTTTCCTTTGAGGATGTGTCTATCTGCATTACGTGTGTGTGGAGCCTCAGCTCTGTATTTGGAATCTAATATCAGGACATTTGGAATCTGAGATGGATAGGGGGGCATCTGAGTGCTTTTATTGTATCAACTGGCACTTGGAAAATGGGCTTGCAGTTTATTTTAGTTGGCTTGCTTGCTGCCACAGATGTTGCTTTTCTGCCTTTCTCCAGATTTGTTCCCCAAGATCTCTGTGATGACATCCGAAGACACAAATGCTGTGAGAAATGACTATTTTTTAATGACTATTTGGCAGTAGGGTCTGTATAAATATATGCAAACCCCCAGGTTTTTTTGCCTACCTTTTAAGCTGTATACATCCATAGATGGACATAAGGCTTTGAAGGCTGAAAACTTTGAACAACATGTCAAAGCTAATGATTTACAGATTCTTGACTGCATCTCGGTCATATTAAGAGCAGCAGTTTAGATGTGGGGACTGTCCACAAATGTAACAGTGTTTTGGTTTATAAATTTCAACTTCATTAATCTGAGGTCCTGCAAGTAGCCTCTCATTCTTTCCCAATTCTCATTTGTATTTTTAAATGTTGGCAAAAATGGGAATGCGTTCTGGTTTTGATCGTGATTTCTTACGCATTTTGATATTTGTACTAGGTTCTTTGGGTTCCTCGATCTACCATTAATTTCTCTTTCCACAGGGAAAATTTTTATAACCTAGTTTGGAAAGGTCTTTGAAGAATCTGGAGATTGTTAAAAGTAGATGTCACAGCTGTCTTGAGTATAGTGAGAAGGAGGAAGAGGAGTGCTCTTGAGAAGCCTAACAGTTTGCCACAAAAAAGTTGGTACTAAGCTTTGAGCCCCAAGTTTCCACAGGTATGTAGCAGCTTTTCTGAATTAATAGAAGTTGGATGCATGAGATCTTACATTTTTTTTTTAATTTTTTTTTTTTTTTTAGAAACATTATCAGCTCTATTTCTAGTAGCAACCTGGGCTATTCCTTGAAAAGAGGAGACAGTGCATTTTCCATTTTTTTACCTGCCTCTTCTACCCCTCCTACAAACTGAAGAAATTAATTCAATTCCCAAAGACAAAGAGTGTTTGACCTCTTACCTTTTCTTGCTAAGGTTAGCTGCACGTATCAGGTTGTATGGTAAAGAATTGTTTAGAGTAAAAAGAGGCCACCAGAAGAGGTATTTATATCTCCAGAAGAATATCTGCCTCATTGAAAGTTTGCCAAATGTTCTTACCCCCCAGCAGTCTCCTCTTCAAGACTTTGTATATGTGTCTCTCCAGGTGAAGAATCATGTCAGGCACCTGGAATTATGTTTGACCTCCTTTATTATGCTTTCTCTGATAGCACATTAGGTGAGGGATCTGTCAAAGGGCAAAATCACGTTGAGCAGCAGCAAGTAAAAGTGTTTTGTTTTCTTTGCTCCTCAGGCAGTGACAACTGAAAACCTGGATTGCGTTGCTGAAGAAGCAGGAGACAGTGAGAGGACAAGTGAGATTCGGAGAACAACCCTCTGACCTTTAGAAGGAAACAGCTGTCACTTCCGGAAGCATCCTGCTTTTCTGTCAAGTTTGAAGAAAAATGTTGAACAGGTACAGTGTCATTTGAAGAAATACAAATAAGGAATAATGTAGAGTAATTGAATAGTGAGCAAATCCACTTGAAAACATTTGCTAGCAAGTCAGTCAATAGAATGTTGTTCCACACGTTTCCATTTGAAGAGATTCTCATTTTATGTGTTATATGCTGTCTTGCTTAGATAATGCTACATGTTTAATCTTTCATATAAAGATTCCTTCCCCTTTAAAATCCCCATTAAGTCCATCAGAGTTACATTTGAAAATAATTCCAGCTTCTAAGTCATTCATGAACTTCGTATAGTTAACACTCTCAGGGAGGATTTTTTTTTTTCATTTGAGTATGATTAATTTGTCAAATTTGATTGCCTCATACTTGGGCTTAGTTTTCACCAGTGTAATAGGAGTTCAGAATGGTATCTGACTTGACTATATTTGTATATTGAGAGAATATAGGCAAATGCTGCATATGATGTGAAATTCGCAGGCATGTGCCACGTTGTAAATCCTTACTTACACAGCACTAGAAACTTCTAAAGCATAAGGAATAGCCTCATTTCAAAACCTGCTTTAATTGTCAGTACCTGCTACCTAGAAATTGATGGGCTTTTATTCATGCTTATTTCTTTCTGTTAAGCATAAGTTGGTGGCTGTTAAAGGTTCCCTCCTCAGTCTGGAAACAGTCATGGGAGTTCACTCGTAAAAAGAAGAGCAAGGTGGATGCGTAAGAAATATGGGATTTTGCAGGGAAAGGAACAAAATAAGAACATAGTCCAGAGCTTGTAGGCCAGCACTTGGTTTGATTCAAGCTGATTTGCCTCTAGCTACTTTTGCCCCTTCCTCTCTGCCCTTATTACATTTGATGGTGTTGCAGGAGGCACGGATATTACTGTGTGAGATGCAATGCCCACTATGTGTTCATGCAACACCATTGCAATACATATAATTTGTACTATCCATGTTTGTGGACATGCAACATAAAGGAGCACAAAATAATCCTCTGGAATGCTACAGTTGTTGGCCATTTTGTTATATTTTGTTCTATTCTGTAGCCTGAATCAGCCATCAACCTTATTTCTGTTCTTAAAGGGAAAATGACCATGTTCATTTTACAGGATTAAAAAGATTGAGTTTTCCTGTAAAATTGCAGTGTAGAATTTGTTGTGAACCAAATAGAGCTGACTCCATTGACTACAGCAGAATAATTTGCAGCCAGAATTGAATTGTGCTCTTAAAATCTAATTTTAACAAGGTTTTCAGAAATAGGCTGAAGTAGCTTGTTTTTTGTCCTCTGTGCATTTTGAATTTTAGGGAAAACCTAAACTTAGTGTGTTAATGCAGTTGTAGCATATGGTTATGGAATAGAAATGGTTTTTCATGAAAACCCAGTTTAAGTTACTGTGTTGAACCTCTCAGTACAGCTGGATTCTTCATTCAGATTCTCTGTAAATTCCTGATCTCAAGATAATTCAAACACACAATTATCACAGAGGTTTTTTTGAAGCCCATGCGGGGCTACTCCAAACAGGAGGTGCAATAGGAAGCTCCGCTGTATTATAAAATGAGTTTATCTACTGACTTCAGCATCCACAGTGTGTAAAGCACGTGAGTTCTTCTTTTCTTGTCTAAACTATTTTGAACAAGGTCTCTTCTACATGCTAGTTTGGCAAGCTTCTAAGGCATTTGTGCAAAGTGATGATGCAAGAGCAACCTGATTCAACAGTGAGAAATTCATAAATAACATTCAGCAGTAATTAAAGTGAAAAACTACAGCTAAGAAAAGCGATTACCCTGCAGTATCAGTTGAGCTACTATACTCTGCAGTGTTAAGTGGAATATGTTTACTGGTGCCTTTGATTTAGGAGGTATTGTCGTGAATTTTAAATATACCAAGGATTCATTCTGTTTTTTACATAGATTGAATTGGATTAACAGTGATTAAAAAAACATTACTATATACGTAAAGAAAGGATAAGAGTGGAAGAAAAACACAGTGCCAGAAATTACCATCTGGAAACATACTATACATGTAGTCAGTATTTTTGTATTAAAATGAAGAGTTAATTTTGAAGTCAAAATGGTTTCAAGATAACCTAGTGCTCTCTGTAAGGCCATTTTCAGGAGTCAAGTGCATGATATTCAAGATGGGGATATTTATAAAGGACTTCAGTTTGAAGAACTGGAATAGCCAGCTGATGTCTTTAACATCTTGATGAGAAAGTCTGTGCTATTTTCAGTAAGTACACACTAAAGTCACAAAAAACCACTATAAACTATTTGTCTGGATTTCTCCTTAGTTGAGGGTTAAATGGCAGGTAACATTAACACAGCTTAGTTTTTCAGATTTTATGTATGCAAAATTTAACAAAGTAGTAGAATTTAGGTAGCTAGTAGTATAGCAAATAACAGGTAGGTCTTAAAAGTATCATCCTGAGACTTTTTTTAACTTGTTTCTCAAGCTCTCTAACCACCTGCAGAGCCTGGATTTACTGGAAGGAACACTTGGCCCTGTATTATGTAAAACTTCGTACAGCATAGCCTCAAATTAAGTTCAAAGATGCGTGCTTTGGTTTGTTTTTTTCTGTTGTTGTTGTTTTGTGGGGGTTTTTTGTTTGGTTTTTGTTTGTTTGTTTGTTTTTTAGAAGAAGGTGAGGAGAAAAAAATCAGACAAAAACTTAAATCTTTTCCTGTCAGGGTACAGCTATGGCCGTTGTGCTGTGGCACATAATCCATGCTTTTCTGGCCTTCAAAAGGGAAGGTGAGAGTAGTTGTGGATACTGTCTGTGCTTCAGGCAGAAAAAAGTGGTAGCCGGCCCAAAGCAACTTGAGACTTAACATAAAAGATCTGTAAAGTAGCCATTGCATGATTTTTGGACCACCCTGTGCTTACAGGAATTTCTGTGGTTGTGCTGTTGGTATCAGCCAAGCATTGGGGCAATTCAGACTTTATTTTTGTCTTGGCAAGACAGAATAATTCAGCTGTGGTATGGATGAGTTGATAATGCAGACAGGAGTAATTTGTGAAATTTAGTTCTAGAGCTGGGCTTGGATAAAAATGCGCAAGTTTGGATGTGCTTATGGTTTGGACCAACATCTCACATTCAATTTTTGTCTTTTTGTGACTCTAGTTTTAGGTACTGACCTGTAAACATCACAAGATGCAGTCTTCTTAGAAAGTTAGTTGTATGCCTCAGTACTAGATACAAGATCTTTAGCAGGACTTCACGTGAGGAACAGTTAAACAGAAGCTTGTATGAATAAGGCACTAGTAAATGTTTGCAGCAAACAACAATTACAGTCTATATTCTTTAAGAATAAAACTGTTCTGTTTAAGAAATTGCCTTTAATATGACAGAGTTACCAATGCCGGTTAGAAGTGGGGTTAGAGAAAGTGCATCTTTTGGATTATGCCTGTGAGGTCTGAGAAACCAGTGAATGCAAATCCCTGTTAAATTTGGAAATAGCCTGTGCAGTGGTTATACTCAGGAGAGCTAAAGCAAGAGGAACCTGGTCTAGATTCTGCTCCTGACTAAACCAATGTGAAATCACTGTAAGGGATTTTGCTCTGGATTTCTTTGCATTGCTGGAGGGATCTGAAGCCAGAATCAAGGCTGATGTGGCAAATCTAGTTAAACAGTAACAATGCTAACTCAGACCAAATAATCGCCTACAGTCCCCTTAAACGGCTTCAGAAAAGAATCTGCTGTTTTAAAATTTCCTACTTGCTGAAGTCCAAGGATGCACTTTGTCTTTTAGCTAATGAAACAGACCATAAGCCTTCCGTACTACTTTGGAGCTGCTTCCATTCTAAACAGTTACTAAAATACCAGTTCTTACTTTATACCAAATGAAACTTGAGTCAGCCGGTCAATTTGCGGGATGGCTGACTGCTACTTTGCATTAAAAGTTGTTCAAAAACCTCCAAACTCTTCCATGCATAAAACCAGAACATACTGCCCCTTTTAAAACATACTTTTATGTATCAGCTCTTTTGGGGTATGGGGGTCATTTAATCACCAGAATTTGTTTATCGAGCCAATAATAATGCATTTGTAAACTAATGGATCTGGTTAACATTCATGATTGTATTTCCCTAGGATCTGTCCAGTAAAACTACTACGTCCAAATTATTCATTTGGTATACAAAATAGAATGTCAGTGGTAACTCCACAGTCTGATTTTATCACTAAATCTTGCTTTGTCAACAGACAACTTAGCTTTATCACCTGACAAATTTCTATTCCACTCAGATCCTCCATTATTTGTACAAGATGCCATTTAAAAACTTAACACATTTCTAGTATCCATAATGCAACAAGGAAAAAAATACATTGATTCATTCTTGTACGTTATTGCCATCAGGTGCTACAAATAACAACTCTGAACAGTGGGGTTTTTTTGTTTGCTTGAGGTTTTTTGTATCTTATGTAAGGACTTCATACGAAGTTTATCTCAAGCTTTAAGATCACCCATCCGTGGACACCTCAGAAGCTTTACAAATATCTCAAACAGCTTTTTAAAATGTGGTGGTTTTTTTGTTTGTTTTGGGTTGTTTTAGCTTTGACTCAAAAGACTAAATTTCATTGGTGGTACAATTTAGCTGAAATTGTCACCAGAAATTAATCTGGACTAATATTTCTTTCTTAGACAAAACAAAAAAACCCCCAACAAGTAAATTAATTTCTAGGGATCTCTCTCCCATACTTGCTATACATATTCTAAATTGTACACAGAAGGAGGAAAATACAGGAATTTCTCTTCACAAAGATCTTTCCTTCATAGTAACTCGGGAAACTTTTTTCTTTTCGATATTTGTTTCTTAGATGAATGTCAGAACATGTGCGTGTGTGTGTGTAGGCTAATAAATAGCATGTGTTTACCTGAATACTAGGAAATGTTATTGAGCATGACAGCTGTACAGAATCTTTTCTGTAAAAGTTGACAGCTTAAAATTTTTTTTTATGTCATTATTTGCAGTAAGATGATGTAAATTTTGGCAATTGCAAAAGAAATATTCTTTGTCAAAAGTGTGCCTTTTGTAGTCCTAACTGCAAAAACTAATTTTATTGTGTGTCTCTAGTTGGAATTGGAAGTTGTGCATATGCTACTTATTAGAATTTCCTAAGCTATGCTTCCTTTAAAATAAATCTGATTTTTTTTTTTTTTAAAAGTAAAAGAAACCTGTGTTTTGAAAGTCAGGGTTAGTTTTTAACTTGTTCTTAAGATTAAAATAGTACGTTGGGACATGGTTGGTTTTCCTTCCCTTTTTGCCTACTGCTTTTGAAGTGTGCCTTCAGTATCATACAGCCAGGTGAGAAAAATCTGCATTTTGGAAAAAGTTCTGTGAATATTTAACAAAATGCAGAAAGCAGTTTGTTTTCGTGGCTGTATTTCTTCAACAGAAACAAAGGGATAGTAATGAAACATTTTTATTACAAAACTAAGATATTACAGCCCTGACTGAAGAAAAATCCTTTGTCACACAATTTATATGGACTTTTTAAAGAGCAAATTCACACTTCTACAAAACAGTTGCTTCTTGGTACAACTGAGTTGTGTTTGTAGAGGCACACTATTAACACCAACTAAAACTGTGGCCTAAATGAAGGCATCACACTTGGGTTTGTGCTGATGGATGGCATATATTGATGACATTTTAACAAAAAATGCCATTTCACAATTTTTTTTAAAGTAAAAGTTAGGAAAGAAAAAACTTTCCGTTGTAAAACTCAACCAAATGACTATTTGATAATTTAACAACAACTGTTTCATGATTTTGCATCACTCTTGACCTTCCTAAAAAGCAGTAATTGATTTTTTTTTAATATATGCAGTGGTTTGATAATGAGTCATCATGCAACTGCTGACTCACACTTGATAAATACTTTACTTAACTTGGGAGAGAAATTTTCTTGAGTACAAAAAAAAATATAAATCAGTCCTAGGTCTTTGCTATTAATTCAGAGATTTTTACTGTTAGCTGAAACATGTATAATTGGAAGTAACCGTTCTGTTGAAAGGAATCTGTGTTACTTTGATTAAAAAATCCATTTATCTGAGAGGCATTAGGGATTATGACAAATCTGATGAGGCCAACCCCACCGCCTCAAAACAGTCTACTTTTTGGAGATGAATGAACTACCAGTCATTTAACTCTAGTGTATTTTAAGGCTAGTTAGAAGACGTGTAAGAGTGTTATCTCAAACTAAATGCTCAAAACTAGGAAGTATTTGCATGACTGGGTATTTAAAGGGAATGATTTATATGGGTGAAAGTTTGTTTCTTCCTTTATGTTTGCTAATACAGTAAACCTACCATCTACTTGTACATCAGTAATAACTGATCTTAGAATGCCATTTCATAGCTTGAATCTTGGGTTTACCTCAAGGTTTGTTCTAGCCAGGATGGCAGTTAGGGAAAGTCCTAAAACTGAAACACAAAAATTGACACATGCTGTTAAATTCAAACACAAAACATTAACATGGAAGCAGATATGACATTCAATGTCAGAAGTAACAAATTTGAAAGTCTTAAATAAGTCAATATAGAGAATATAGTTCAGATATTTTTTTATGTAAGTGTGCTTTTTCCTAAAAACACCCCCCCAAACCAAACTTTTTTTTTTTGCTTTTTCTTTAAGTCTTTTGTCTGTAAGTATGAAAGAGGGCTATACCCCACTGCAATTTTTCATTGCCATACTAAACAGTAAAGCAGTCTTTCTAATTCACATTGATCACGGCAGTCTTATTTGATGTTGCTTTATTAAGTTTGTGATTAAAGCAGTTTGGGATTTTTGTTGGTTGTAAACTTTTGGCATAGTGTGAATACCAGTCCCTTTCAAAAACAGCCTTGAGTTGCTTAATGATGCTTGTGCTGTTCCCCGCGTCTGCTTGGTTGATAACAAGGCCAGCTCCAGCATTCTGCGTAAAAGCATTTCCTACCCAATCAAAATTACCTACAAGTAAAGGCAGGAATATACAATGAGTTTCTAACATTAAAAAAAAAAAGTGATCTCCCTAAAGGCAACCCAGCATGACACAGTATCATTTTCCCCAGTGCCTGCCTGGGCAGAGAGAGTTTTCTAAACTAGCAGGAAAGAAAAAACGCCCATTACGTACCAGTGTGTGGTGCAGATTGTTTCTGGAAGTTGTAACAGCTCTAATCCTTCAAAACTACCTTGCTCTTCCTTTTGCATATATCGTATTATTACTCCATTTACTTTCCTCATCAGCCTTTTCAGTGCCAAGAATGAAAATATTTTTTTTGCCATATAAACAATTTAAAGTAGATAGGATGGAGAGTGGTCGCTCTATAATGCAGAGCCAAATCAATAGATCTTTTATAGGTTACCCACTGACAGATACTATTTCAGGAAAGAAAAACAGGTTTTACTGGTTTATGCCAGTTATTACCACCTTTGAAATCTAAGGTAATGAATGAGCATTTCAGATCCTGATGATCGCAAGGCAAAGAGGGTATAACTGGATTAATAGAACACAGGTAAACCAAGTATTTCAGTTATTTCTTTTTATTTCACTAGAACTATTAGCTATTTAAGTTGTACATTTATAACACATTCAGTATTTTGGAGAGAAAATGCTGTTACTAGAGGTCATCTTTTAAAGCAATATTGGAACATACATAAAACATGAAGGTATATGAGAAATTTATACCCTTTTTTCAGTGTCATTTCAGCTACTTCAGCAGGAAATGTTAAGGAAATTCTGAAGTTGTCAAGGATGGTAGATTGAAGCCTCATCATAAGGGACATGTTTTCCTATGCTTTCAAGTAAAAGATATATCAGATCCTTAACACGCATTTGTATTTCACACAGCTTTGATTATTTCTTTCTTTTATTTATATATATCTGAGGATATAAGGACAGTGGGGAAATTAAAAAACCAACTCAACTAAATCCATGCTGTGTAGACAAGTTATAAATAACTGAAATTGGATCAGGCTATTGGATGGAATTTAAAAGGGAGTTAAAAAAAAACTATTTGTGGGGGGCTTGTAAAACATTTTGGAGACGAGAGGAATACAGTGCACTGTTTGAAATGAAAAGTAAGATTTGGATGGGTTGAGAGGTGTGTGTGCTTAGACCCCGTCAAGGTGAGCTTTTCAGAGTAGCTCTTGGTTGTATCTCTACGCTATTTGAGATTGTCCATTCTTCATGTGTGCATGGGTCTGCTGCTGAGTTGCAGCCTCTGTGATCTCTGGCTTAACAAGCATATCAGCTGTAGATTTCTCATGGTTATTTCAGGCTTTTGGCTACAAACTAGAATTTCTTGAGGTGTGGTTACTTACCGATGTATGCAGCTCCATCAGTCACCATATATTTGTTACGATTTAATTTGGGAAGGGAAGTGTTCTTCTGTTCTTTAAGAAAGCATGCACTTTCCTCCTCAAGGTCAAAGAATTTCTGCCATAAAATAGAATGGAGTGCAGGTTAATAAGACTTGTTCTACAATGGACAGAAAAAAATATGGTCTGTTCTCTATTGAAAAGGAGTTTGTGCTACAGAACAACTTGAGCCAAGCATTAATTTTAATAAGACACTACACGTTGCATTTCTTACTACATTCTCATAGTTTGTGATACTCACTGTGCCTTGGCATTCTGAACTATACAAAATACATGGCTACTGCATACTAAAGGCAATGCAGGGCCAGGTAGTAGAGGCTATGAAAGGAACAAAAAACCCCTATCTTTGTGTTCTGCACGCTAAAAGCTAGGAACCTTTCTTTAGCTCATTTCCTCATTCATTAAGGGACACTGAGGTTTGAAGTCTGCTTCGGGATCTGGATTGGCAGGCCCACCAACGGCTGAATTAACACCTTTATCCATGTTGCATAGTTTCCAACAGGAAACCTGCTGATTTCAGAAACTTAGAAAATTCTCAGGATTAAGTCTGATAGGGAGAGACCAAATTTAGCAGACAAGAGGAAAATGCACCTGTCTTACCCTGAAGGGTGAAGTCTGAGTTAAATTTTTTGTTGTTTTGGGTTGGTTGGTTTGTTAAACTTTGGAGCTATATGCACTCCTTGTCTGCATCAGTGCCAGACAAAAATGAGATTTCCAGTACAAATCTTAAGTATTGCTTGTTTCATCAAGGAAGCTAAGAGCAAGACACAGATTCTAAGGCCACAAGTAGAGAACAACATGATGAAGGAAAAATTAAATATTTACTGCATGACTAGGAAAATTTGATTGAGGTGATAGTGTAGATCCTCAGAACAAACCTAATTCACAGTTTATTACTGATCAAAGTAGCTGGCTACGTACTGCACCCACTTTTAAGACATTGAAAATTAGTATTAAAAAAACCCACCTCAAAACTCCTTGATCATTCTGGGGAGTCTGTTTTCCATAATGCAAAATTAATCTCTTGAACCAGTGCTCTTTTTGATACAAACCTTGACCAAATCCTTTTACGTTATGGAAATATCTTTTCAGAATAACCCTCTGCTTTGAAAACCCAACTGTAAAATACTAAATTCCTTCTTGAAATGTAGTGATCTCGGTGGTAGACTACATCATTTGAACAGTTTGATTAAATCAAATAAGCGTGTACGCTCAGCACACAGACAGTTTTATAAAGCATTCTTCACCCAGCCGATGATGTAGGTGGGTTTCAAGCAGGTTTGCAGTAAACTGCTTGACTATTGCCAGCTGTGTTGTTGCTGATTACCAGGAATGCCAGCTTTAGGTTTTATACCACTGGTTGCTTCAGAACTGCATATACATACTCATTCAAAAAATTTATCTTCTTAATCATCAGTCTTGATCATGACAGTTTGGTTTTCCTTGGAGAACTCTCCTCTCAGCTCTGACCAGGCTTATCTGCAATTAGATTTACCAAACCTAATAAAAATGGTTGAGTCTCAAACAAAAGGTAGAGTAGCCCAGCGGCTGCTGTTTATCTAATGCTTTATGCTGTGGACTCTTGTCAGAATCTCTCTTGCCCAGTGGAAAAAGTATATTGGGGTGAATTTTATGCTGTCAGAGGTTGTACCAAAACTGCTTGGAAGAGCTCTGTGCAAAATATCAAGGCTGGTTCAGGCTCCTGCTGATTCCAGCATTGAAGAGTCTCTTTCCTTGGACTGACCCACACCCACTCCCTGTAACAATGAAAGTTTATTCGGGCTGAAGCGGGTTTTTAGTGCATTAGAAATAAGATTCATAGAGTTTGTGTTTTTTCAGTGCACAGATACCGGATGGTACTGCGGTGCAGTTTTACAATCAATAACTAGCACAAAGTTGTTTCCTTAAACAGTCTCTGAATTTTACATGTCACCACATGCTTACTTACCTGTGCAAGGCATTGTTACCTTCCACAGCTTAATTTTTGTAAGGAGTTCAAATATTAACAAAATTCCAAAGGTAGATTTTTGAATTTAAAAACAAGCATGACCACCCAAACTTTGAGTGATTGCTTTATAAAGGGCATTTAAAAAGATTATTCTTTGTAAAACTCTAGTATCTGTCCTTTAAATGAGATTTATGTTGTGTATTCATATCTAAGCTGTGTGGAGAAATCATAGCTTTAATTACAGATTTTTAACATTGCTAACAATTATAACATTACACCTTTTAAAAAATTAGAACAAACCATCTTAACAGCTATGAAGGAAAGTTTACTAGATACTAGGAGTTAGTGCTTAGACAAAATCAAGAGTGCTGCTCTGTGCCAGAGGAACTGCTCTACAAACACACCACCACCGAAAGTAGGTACTTAGCAAGCCAGAGATGGATCTGAATCTATCTGAAAGGGTCTTGAATTTTTGGAGCACACTGTTAAAATTCAGTGTTCACAGCTACGAAATTGCATCTTGCAGTCCCTGCCTTCCTGACCTCAACAGCAGACTGAAAAATTACATGCATGGCAGTCAGCAGCTGGGTTTGATCAGGACACTGCTTTTCTAACGCTATACTCGCAGTTAGGCAATACCAAAACTTCCGTTAGTCTGGTCAGAGACCAGGGGAAATGAGGAAGAGATTCCCATCTAACAGAGAAATTATATCCGTGCAGCCTCCTCCAAGATGACCGTGGAACTCGGGCTGCTGCCATTGGCAAAACAGTGTTCCCTGCAGCTGCAGCAAGCTGTTGGCACTTGCAGGAAACTTCCCAGCTGAACTGGTCTTTCCATAGGCATTAAAAAAAAGGGAAAACAATCACAATAAGGCATATTGCAGGGATCAAAAGCAAAATGAAAGAAAAGAGGTACCAAATATACTCCGATGGACTTGGGTATATTATCCCCAAGAGAACAGAAGTGGGGCGGGGGTGCCATTTCTGGCAGAACAGTATTGAGGCATTGGGACACCCTAGCAATTTTAAGTATAATTTCAACTAGAATTTGCAACTTAATGTTCCCTTAAAATGTCAGTGTTCTTGTATGCAAACACAATATGTGTCTGCGTGACACTATTTTCTGTACTGAGTTTAGGTTGACATTTGGTTCTGCTTTGGGTACGAGGAAACAAAGGGAAAAGCAGAATTTTCGAATAATTAAAAAGGTTTAAGTTTAGTTTTTACCTTGTCGGCCTATTCCTTCTCCCCCCTACACACACACACATAATTTTGTTTCACTTTGATCCTGGCTACAACAGATGAATACAAAAGAAATGCGGTTGTGAAAAAACAGTGCTCATCTGCCATGTTATGTGAAGTAAAGGTGTCACGATGGAGCCTGTGGCACAATTTCAGCCAGAATCAAGCAGATACCAGTACACTCGGAACCTTGGGCCCTTGCTCCTCCCGAGGCTTAAGGCAGCGACTGACTCGGCCTGTGGAGCACGTGATGCGCAGCACAGAGGTACTGGAGGTGCGTTGTACCTTCACAGCTCTTCAAAGCTGGGCCGAGCTCATTTTTTTACTGGAGGTTGTATTTCTATTAGCTAACTGCAGATATTCTAGCTAGACTACCTCCCTGGAATGGATGCCTAGAATTGTTTTTTGTTTTTTTGTTTCCCCCCCCCCCCTTTTAGCATTTCGTTCTTGACAAGATAAATTCTGTACTAAAGATTTTACCTGCTGTAAATAGATGGAAATGGATATAAGTACATAGAGCTTTAGATGTCACTTAAATAAAAAATAATCTTAAATGCAAAAATGGAATTTTGATGATAAATACACAACAAGCTAGAAGTTACTCAAAATTGAGTGTAAACAGTGTCAGCCACATAAGGGATTTTTGTCTTACAAACCATACTTTATGCTGCTTCTTACCTAGGAAATTTGTAATAACAGTGTACATTATAACAAAAATCCATATTTCTAGATATGAGTAAATATCACTTAGTGTGTATAACACAAATACTATTGTTTTTTTACAATTGTTACCAATTTTAAAAAACCAAAATGATTTAGTGGATTAACAATTTAAATAGTCAAAATAATTCAGCAGATTATTTAAGACAGTTATCTGCAAAGAAAAACAAAAAGAAATTGATCTAAGATGGCTGATTTCCAGTGCGCCTCAATTTCATACAAATGAACTAGATCAAATTGAAAGTAGTACTTACCATACACTCTGGTCTCTAACACAAATGTAACATATATGGTATTTCTGACTTTCCTGTATTGCATGTCTAATGTGGTCACATAACGGTTGTTCTAGTTTTCACAATTCTGAATTTGTAGCCTGAATTTAATGTAAAATCTTCATTGTCTTCTCTTGTACTTTGTACTTGACTAAAGGAAAAGCAGATGCTTACGCAGGTGAACAGTCAGGTTACATGAGTCCAGACTAAACCATGATTTTGTGCTGTTACATTTACTCTTATCAGCCAGTATAAACAAGACATAGGACTGCGGTTTGCTCCGTTAGCTTTGCTGTGAAGGACCAGACGTAGTGTTTTACACAGGCTGTCCACCACACAGACTGCCTTTTGGCATCGTTCTGTTTTTCTGTCTTAATTTCTATGTCTGTTCCTACTAGGAATAAATTCAGTTCGTTAGTTTACATTTCCTGTGTTACCTAATGAAATTTAAAGACTTTGAGAACAGAAAACAGTTGTCAGTTGTGAGGTTTTCTAGATTTTGGGAGGAGAGCGGGGTGGGAAATATTTTAGATTTCAAAGCAATATGGATTATACTTACAACTTTCAAGCTACAGCTTGGAACTTCAGTGCAAATAGCTTTCAGAGATGAAACAAAGTTAAAAGTAAGGGGATCTGTGTCTCTTGAGAAACTTATGAGAAGTCGCACTTTAATACTTCGTAAAACTAACGCTTCTCTTATCTTCCCATCTAAATATGGCCAGTACCTGCGGAGAAAGAATACAGTATATTCAGTTAACTTTAAAAACTTCTGGATTTTTATGCAGCCAGTCTGGACACCATAGAGAAAACTAAACACATGGGAATTTCATTTTCTCTGTTGAAGGAATGCTGTTCTCCTTTAAAGGGATCTGCCAGCATCCTTTCCCGTGTCATTCCGCCCTGCACCAAACCTGTCACTGTGGGAACAGCGAGGCTGCGGATGGTGGAGCACATCTCCCACCCGTGATGGAGCACGGAGAGCTGCCAGACACTCGTGTAGAAGACGGGCACCTCGTCCCCCCGTGTCCGGGAGCATTGCTCCTGCGGCGCAAGCGGCGGAGCTCTGGCAGCGCCTGACAACCAGCAGAATGAGCTACAGCTAGAGGGTGCTGCCTGCCCGGGACGGGACGGGACAGGTAGGATTTTCTGTTGGTTGCACCAGTAAGGGAACAGGAACACTGGATCCCTGCCTGACTGCCACCCGTTCTTCCCTCTGTACTGGGACCGTACAGGGTGGGGACTGGAATGCCTCCTGTAATTTCTTGCTTGGGTAAAGGAGAGCTGCTGCTGTGCAGGGTGCCTGCATCCTTCCGTAGCAGCTGAAGATGGGTTGTTTAAGGAGGATGTTACTTTTTATCCTGATGAGGATTGCAGAAATTCTATGCATGGGATGGTGGCTTCCAGGGTGCTATTCTCACAATTGCTAGTGAGCTTTGTGTTTCTGACCTTTGGTGGGAGCAGGTCAGGGCAGGGAGAATCGGGCAAAGAAAATGCACATTTTCTCTATTCCAGCAGCATCAAGGTATTCAGCCTAATGAAACCTGAGTTCTACAATGCCAGAAAATAACTTATAAGCGAGAACTGGGGAGCTGACTAGGTAGAGAAGCTGTGGCAGTGCCTCAAATGCGAAGCCATGCTGTAAGGAATATATTGAATTCACACAACTGGCTTCCCTGGATCTTCCTAAACCAGTATGTTTTTGAGTTCTTCAGAACAAAATAAGGAGTATAGGAAATAACATCGCCTGCAACACTGTAATGGTTCTACATACTAAGACCTAGTCCAGCATATAAAGGAGAAACACAAGGGATGCGTATTGTGAAACTGAGCCTCCTACAGCAGTACTTGTGATTCTTTCACTGAGATGGAGGCTGCTCATAATGAGTTAATTGGAAAAACCCTCTTTACAGAGTTGAAACAGCTTATGCTTGATATCAATCAAATGCTAGTTACTTTTTAAAAAATTTGAACGAAACATCTTTAATTATGCAAAACTGGAAAAAAGCACATAACCAGATGTTTAGTTTGGCTTAACTGTGTTCAAGCAAAGTGCATGGATGGAAGGGTGAGCTTTGCTAGATGCTCAGTTCATTGTGATATCGCGAATCGGAAGGACCACTGGCTGCTTGCCTTCTGAGTTGGCAGGTTTTACTACACTGTGGCTCCAGTTTTGGGTCGTGAGTGCTTTTTAATGATCCATACAAACAGGGTGTTTAAAAATTATTTGGTTTTGTTTGTTTTTGGAAACTCTCAGTTAACCAAAATGTGATATAATTCCAGTGTAATCTGTGTTAAATTTTGGAATTTTCATGTATCTGTATATTTCGATAAAATAATGACATCTCCCATGTTGTATATGAGAACTCACTTGTTACTTCTCTCAACATACACACACTCACACTCTCTCTCTCTCATGTTGAATATCTGTACGATACTCATGAAATGCCAGTAGCTGTGGTATCAAGATAGTGAATATAAAGTGTAATAGGATTGATGTATAAGCAGGTTCTTGTATTCCTGAGTCCCAGTCACTTGCAGATGGTGAGACTAGACAATTTCTGATCTCCTCCGATAGGCAGATCCAAAGCTTAGGACCCAGAACTGGAAATGTCTTCTTGGGTCCCAATTCTGCTCCCATTTAAGTCAATGGCAGAACTCTCACTGATTTCAATAAGAGCAGAATTGGGCCCCAAGAAATTGGTCCACAGTGGTAACTAATGTCCTGTGGGTTCATTCTCTCCAGCAGACCTCATTGGCATTGTGGTAACCTGCTAGTCCTGGGCATGGACACTCACCGTTTAGCATTGGTGTCAATGACGATCGGCAAGTAGTCCATGACAGCTATGTATACAAACTGTTTGGCATCATCGATAACACTGTATATAGCTTCAATATCCAGGACTCTGTCCTTTGGGCAGAAGAGTTTAGGTGAATTCTGTGAAAGGAAAAGTTCAAATACGGCATTTAAAATACGTGATTTATTTATTTTCTCTTCCCCTCATTCTTCTTGAGATGGCAAGTAGTATCCTTTAATTTAGTAGAGAATGTTAACTGATGTGGCACCTGTCCTGCTAGAATACTCAAAAGGTACAAAGCAGAGCCGTTTGCTTCATTTCCCTTTGAAAGCCTTACCATTTAGATGTAACTGTGGGTAAAATGCAGAAAACACAAACTTCAAGAACTTCAAAACATCCACGGGCATCAGAGAAGCTCCAGTTGAAGTTACATTTCAGTGAATCTTGTTCCAAAGAGTCCCAGGGCTGGCTGCTATTAGATGAAGAAATATCTGTGATCTTGCCCTGTGAGCCTGATCCATCAGTCGGGACTTGGAATTAAGTCTGTTATGTCAGTTCTGTTTAAAGGCCCGTGCAAAGTCACCATTTGCTCAGTCACTGTTGCAGGGAGATGCTGCGGTTTTGCAAGAAACTTCTCTGTAAGACCTAGCTTCAGGTATAAATGAACTCTTCAGCTGGTACTGAGCTGGTAAGCGGTAAGCCCGGATTTCAGCTTTTCTGCATCTTACCTAGGGCCATCAACTGCATCAGTCAGGAAGGTGAAGCCGGCAGGAATCGCCCATCCGTGGCAGAGCGGCCCAGGACTCTCTGCCCGAGCAGGGAGAGGGAAGTGGCAGCTGGTGGCAGGTTGCTGGCAGGCGGCTGGATGGCGCCTGGGAGCAGAGGTTGTTACCAGCACTGTCCCGAGCAGCGGGCCCTGCCAGACCGCTGCCTTCCTGAGGCTCTGTCGCCTTTGTTACCCGCTTGGTTTGCAGCTGACATCTAGATTAGTGTGTTCTCGTTAGGGACAGACCCTGCGGTTTTGACCAGTTTTTTTCTCTCAATATGATGCCTATATCACAGGTTTCTTAGTCATCAACTGGTGTTCTTAGGGATTTACTACAACCAAGTTCAGAAAATACTAGAAAATAAAGTGTAGCAAGATTTCAAGACCAGTATTCCAGATCCATTCCTGAACACTAAGAAAACCAACCAAAACCTCTTACATTTTATCAGCCAGTCTGGAAGACAATGTTGTTGCCAAGCAACACTAAGCCATGATTCCCAAGTATAACAGAAAAATTCAGTGACTGTATGTTATGCTTGTTTTATACAGCACAAACATTGAAAGTAAAATATATTCTCAAAGAATGAGTTTCAACTCAAGAAAAAGTAAAGTGATACAATTTATGTCTATTATTTGAAACTTCTAGGAGGCTGCTGCACTGAAATTTTCTTGCACTCTTACTATTTCCTGAATAGAAGTTTTAAGTTACAGAACAGCTAAAGAAAGGAATTCTTATGCATTGTCTTTTTCAGATGCATTCAATATAAAGAGCAGAAAGTGAAAGACATTTAGAAGATAATTAGAAGAAAAACTTCTGTTAAAGCTCCCACTCTAACACTTGTGCTTGGGCATTCCACTTGTTACCCTGTGGCACAGGTGATGCTCCCACAGTCACAAAATATTTTAGTACTTTTCTCCGTATTAGCTGTATAGTGCTTGCTGTTCTGATCAGATACCCGCCTGATACTTCTCTCCACCTAGCAGAAACAGGTCTTTTTCTCCCTGGGCAGGAGTACCTTGCCATGCTACCTGCTCGGGGGGGTTTGCCCTCCCAGGCTCTCCCGATGGAGACGATGCTCCCAAAGGGAGGCGACACAGGGCTTTTGGGGGAGGGAGGGGCACAGCACTGGGCAAGGCAGCAGCACCACCCCTCCTGCCCACAGGCAGAGCAGTGCTGGCAGCCAGAGAACTGCCTGGCTTGTGGAGATTTTCCTCTTATCGTTAGTTCGGGAGCAGACAGAAATGTTAATGCTGGGTCCACCACACCGGTGCAGTGTGGCTCCAGGACTGCCTTTCAGAGGGGCACACTGGCAAACATTAAGAACCTGCTAGTAGGTGAGAAATGTATTGAAGAGCCTGTTTTCAGGAAGGAAGGACCAGCCCAACTGGCTGTGGCTATAAATTCAGGTAGCTCTTGGAGCGGGACTTCACTGATCTGAGCTTCTGAGTACCAGTGACTCCTTCCTTTTGTTTTCTGAAGTGGACATTCAAGAGAGGAGGCTTTTGTTGACCAAACAAAGGGAAAATACAAATCACAGGGAGGAAGTGAATGTTCTGCAAACTGCAGAAGAGCAGCTTTTGTAGAGCCTCTCTCCACCTGTTTTTGTCCAGGATCCCAGATTCCTTAAAGTTGGCCTTACCCAGCTTTCCTTACTGTGTGCCCCTCCAGGACTGGCTTTCAGCAGGATTTCTCTATTTCTTACAGATTCCTTGGAAGAGAGTAGGAAGGAGTTAATTTCACAGCTCCTTAGCTAACTGTCCCAACAGTCAGTCTCTAATCTAGTTCTTAAGACTCTCCATAATCAATGGAAGCCTGTGCCTCTTCAGAGGGCTATTAACTCTGGCTGTCTTAGGCACTTCCAGGTTTTGTCTCCAAAATAGCTCATTGTCTCTCCACCAATTGTAGGAGTGTAAGAAGTCCCGGACACCTGACTGTTGCCCTGCTCCCAGCAGGTGCAGGTAAACCCTGCCCTCTATAACCACTCATCTGCACCATCCTCCTGTGCTAGCAGCTGTACAACTTGCCTTGGGTTGTTTCCGCCATAACTGGCATTAAAGCAGTGGGGGTTTGCCTCTTGTTTTCTACACAACAGTAGATAACTCTTAGCAACTTCGTTATCTTCCTGATTTTGAAGGGGTTGTTTTTACTCATGTAATTACCTCCAAAAGGAAAGACACTCCACATCTTTCATCATCTCACTTTATGTACTTTTTTCCAGTTTTGCTACATCACTGCTGAGATGGAGGACTGCTCCATTTCTTCCCATTAAAAATACACACACAGACAGTGCTTCCATGGGGATTGCCGCTTGAATTTTAGAAGTTTTAAAATGTCATTTAAAAATAAAGCTAAAGTAGATAATGTTCTACAGAAGTATAGATGCTTTCAGTGGTACAAGGTGAGGAGGATTAATCCTTATAAATTATATTGATAAAAATGCAAGCTATGATATCAAGCTTATTCTGTATCATTTTAGATGTCTGATCAACACTTCATTTACTCCCAAGACCTCTACCTACTTCTATCTACTAGTGTAAATAGATAACTTAATTCGAAGGGCCTCCTTATCATTATTTGAATGCAAGAGGAAGAGCAGTGAATGTTACAGAGAACGGGAAAAAAGAGCAACGCTCAAATGAAATCCTGCAATGCTCAAATGAAATCTTCAGTCCTGGCAAATTGCATGTATAAACAATGTCACAGAAATCAGAATTAAAAAAAATAAATATTGTGATTTGTCCATTCTGTACCACAGGAAAAGACAAATAACTTTTTAAAAATCTTTAAATTACAGACTTCCCCACAGAAGTATATTGGAATAATCTTTTTCCCAGGCAACAGAATGATTTGGTTTTCCAGCATTATGAGACTATCAAACAAGTTCTATCTTATGTAGGTGACGGTGTAGTGGTCTTCTCTCTATAGTTGTGTTTCCAGTCACTCACATAAATCTCAGTTTTGCTTTTAGTCATGGACATAGCAGTAATGTGCATCTTCCTCAGTTAGGGACAATTTAGAGAAATACTTAAGTACAGGCTTAATTTATACCGTATATATTCCTATTAATGGAAATTACTTTCCATGGTAATTTCTCCCTGACAGATACAGGGCAGAATAATGATGGACTTACTGCAGGGAACTGTGAAAAGCCTTGAGATTCTTTGATGGATGCTACAAACACCAGCCTGGCCTGGTCTCACTACTACGTAGTTCATAAAGGACATTATTAGGAGAGTAAGCAGATGTTGAATTTCCAGGTCTTCCAAAAATATGGTGGGTTAAATAAGTTTCTTCCCTTCCCTCCCTCCCTGCAACTCATTTCAGAACTTACCGATACAAATGCTTCTGATTTTGTCTCATTCAGCTGCAGTGTCAGTTTATTCTGAGTATCGTACACGCCATATAGTCTCTTAGACCAACTCGGAGGTATTTTATTCTTGTATCTTAATGAGCTATACAGCGCAAATATCCTTTGTAAATCCAGGACCAGGCAGCTACAATTGTATACGATGACGCCAAGTTCCTTCATCTGTGAAATTAAGAGTTCATGTCATTAGTGGTGTTTTGGCTGATGGCTCTGTGGAAGTACGCAGGAAGAACATAAGTGTCTGAGGGTCATCTTCCAGAAGGTGCTTTGAGCGCAGCGCTAGTACTGTTGGCTACAAGAACGTTCCTAACAACACTCTGTTAAAGGCAAACACATAAGCTAAATCTTCAAAGGCTGTAACAGGGTTTGCACGTCAGAGCTGTGTGTCCTGAGAGAATACAACACACCTTATGGACGGACACAACTTAGGGGTGATACCCATTTGTCATAGGCACCATTTCTGTTACAGGTGTTGCCCAAGGTTTACTATACCTAGCTAGAGTGGGGTTTATTTATTTATTATTTTTATATTATTTTGTGTTTGGGAAATGCATCCTTTCTGCTGGATGGTGTAGGACCACACACTGCTACCAGGGAGTTTCTTCAGGAGGAATTTGCTTTCCGTGAGTTCTGGAAAAGGTGAAAGAAATGCACTTCAGTTATTTCTGTGCTGGAGAATGAATATGATGCTCCAGCTTCAAATGAAAGGATGAAAAAACAGGTGTTTAATACGATCACTAGCTAGATTTATTGTGCTATTAAATCCAGCATGATCCAGTATATAGTATACCCAGTTAGGACACAAAAAGGTTGAGTTCTTAACTCCCCCACTGCTTTGGTATGGTACCTCACCTTGGCTACTCCAAATTTTTGGGTATCACGTTCCTTCACATGTAAAAGTGAAGATAGTGATACTCTTCTCTCATGAAAAGTACCCTGTAAGCATCAACATTCTCACATACAAAGTATGAGGAAAAATAGCCCAAGTAAATATAGACATCAGAGAACAATTAAAGACTTTAACTTTCTACAGACACCGTCTCACTTCTCCCTTCAAGTAAAGATGTGTCTCCTGGCCACCATAAATCATGGTTTGGCAGAGATTTCATTAATTGCATATCCCTAGTACTTCAGTTGTTGACAGAATTTCATTTATAAACATACTGCCGACTTCTGTAATCAAAATGTAACCGCACACACACTCTCTCCCTTTTTTTTTGCCTTGTAATAGCTCAGGAAAGCACTGCTGTGGGCACACATACTACTGACCTCTCATAACTTGCATTTCACACTAGTTCAGCCACCTCCAAAAATAAAGCGAGAAGAAAGCTTGCGTGTATCTGTTGGAAAACAATATGTAGAATAAATACTTAAATAATCTATGCTGTTTTTTCTGCAGGCAAACTCTCTTGGTAGCGTATCGCAGAAGTCTGCCTGGCATGATGAAGAAAATAAGGAGAGTATGAACTTTCCAGCACGCTCATCCTTTGACACCAAAAATTCCCCACTGGTTTTATTCCCTTAGATGAGATCTCCACAGTCACATGGAGCAGTTTCTGGTAGGAGTGTGTCTTTTGGTGAAGCCTGTGAGAACTCTGAACCCCACACTAACGTTATCTCAGAGCTTGTTCCTGCGCAATTCTCCCTGGCTGCAAGAGTGGGCAGAGGAAGGGAAGCGGATGATAGAATTGAACTTTCACTCTCTTTCTGTGGCGGGTGGGAGGAAACAACACATCCCAATATTCCAACGAGAAAGAAACTCGATGGGTGACACCTTCTTCAGGTCCCTGACCTGGAAATACCACATGCATAAGAATATATAACACTGAGCAATCTCATTCTCAAATGTTTACTGAATAGTTGCAACCACTGGAACATTACCTAATATTCTTATTGCCTAAATCAGAATATTTCTGCAAGCTTCTTTAATTCAGAAAAAAATACGCAAGTCGTTCATTAGCCTCTACAACCTCAAATTGGTGGATAGTTGGAAAATACAGACTACTTGCTGCACTGCAGCCTTTCATTTATGGATAAGCCAGTAAATTCATTTTGTTGATAAATCTAAATTATTTCATGCTATATGCTCAGCACCCTGGTCAAACAGTCTATTTGGAATAACATCTTTGTCTTTTCCCCGGGCGCTGGTATCTTTGAGGACAGTCCTGTATTCAGTTCTAGGCTGTTCCTGTACTCTATGCACTGTTTGTCTCCAAACATTTTTAACTATACATTATCACTGTTTTCACTGTGTGCTGCCAATACTGCTCTCTTAATTGCCAGGCATGCCATTGCAAAGGACTTACTAATAGTATTCTGTTGCATGTATCTGCATAATGTGGTTTAATCGGCTTTTCATGGCTGTTAGTTGATTCTGACATAATTATGTGGTTACAGTTTTCCTTTCATTTATCAGTCCCATTATTACTATTCCACTTCATCCCTTCCATTAAAAGTAACGATAAAATAGTGTCCTCACAACGCACCAGAAGCTGCCAGGATTGCATCTGCATGAGCAGCTCTCCTTGGAGCAGGAGCGCTCGCGGCGTGTCCTCCCCCTGCGAATTAAAGGACTGCCTCTCTGCCTAAGTGCTTCCTCATGTACCGAGACAGGGAGGAAGCTGGGGGCACTAACGGCTTTTTTTTTTAAGCGCAGTTTTTACAGATCACCACCTAGCCCGACTGTGCAAACGAAGCGACAGCCGTGCCTTACCGCCAGCCTCCCCCCGTGAGCAGAAGCACGCAGGGACCAGCCCGCTTTGCCCGGGAGCTGCTGGACCCTGCCGTGGGAGCGGGCGTCCGCCGGCCGAGGCGGTGCCCTGGCTGAGGCCCTGCCGCTCGGCCCTGGCAGCCGTTACGCTCCCACCGCAGGCGGGAGCCAAGCCCCTCGGGGAGATGCATTTACAGCGCAGCAGTGAACCTGCCTTCCCACCGCCTTGCCACTTGCAGTTGGCTGCTCTGGCGACAAGCGCTGATCAAAGCTTTTCCTGCTTCTGAAGCCGTGAGGAGTGCTCTGCCCCACCGGATTCCCTGGGACACGATACAGGCTGGGCTTCTCCTTTCCCTCTCTGGGAAAAGTCAGTTCCCGTCTTTACCCCCCAGCTGCCTGTTTTCATGAAGCTTTTATGAACTTAAGTTCAAATTTGACTAAACCTGAACAGTAGATTCAGAGTTCCTGGAAAAGGGCAGACGGCGACTCCGATGCTTACTGTGCAGACCTCATTTCCTTAAGAAACCAGGTTAGATGTCAGCCTGTCACCTCATGGCCATCTTGGTTTATGTGTGATGCATCACCTTGAAATGAGAACAATACAAACAGTGCACACATGTCTGCAGTAAAACCCCAGCAGTCTCCTTTCTTGTAGAACAGCCCCAAGAGGTTTGGAAACAAGAAAAAAATACTTGTTACAGAAGTGTCTTCCACGCTGAGCTTATTTTTACTCCCATACTTTGAGGTGAGGAGAGACTGCTCTTCCAATTAATCACAAAGCCTACCATCCTGGAGGCATTGCAGAGAGGGGGCAGCAAGGATGTGCTAGTGACAGATTTAGTATGAAGTGGTATGTCATCTAGATAAGGAAAAAGACTTTCTCTTCGGTTTGAGAACTGCTGTTATTACAGACTTTTTTTTTTTTTTTTTTTAATAGTCTCAGAGGAGAAGCAGAAAAACCTACTTATATTGAAAGAATCAAAATCCGAGTGTTGCTCTCTGGCTTGTAGTGACTGAAACCTGCATCATCTGAGATATCTGTTAAGGCAAAATCCTTCAGGGCAAGAGCTCTTAAGGCAAGGGAAGTATTTCTTCATTCTGAGTTTTAAAAGGAATTCACACAGTAATGAAAACATTACTTCGAAAGTTAAAGTGAAGAAGATCTCAAAAAAATCAAACCCTTAGTAAAACTAAGGAAGATAAATCTGAACTGAAAGTAAAGAGTCACAAATTTGATTACCTCAAAATGGAACTAAAATATTTGGATGTTAAAGTTGCAGCATTGCTTGTGAGTGACATTTTCAGGGCACGTGCTGGGGACAGGAGTGGTTTTCTAGATGGAGAATTTTGTGTCCTCTCATGAGTGGGTTTCTTTCCCCCTTTGTTAAGAACCACCATGAGTGCTCTTCTCAAAGAATGAAAAACACAGGAGCATTTTGCAGAGCAACTACTAACAGCTACCAAATCACTGTTTGTCTGTCTTGTCAATAAGGGCTTCCTTAAAGCACCAGAGAAATGAATGGCTACTCAAGACTCCAGACCTGGTGGCTTAAACCCACTGTACAGTGACGTTCTAATTACAGAAATCAGTTAAGCTACAAAGAGTAATATGGTCTAGCTAGAAAAACCAGTGATTTTTATGACAAGAGGGAGGAGGAATTCCTTATCAGACCGGACAAAGAACAGGATTCCACAAACAGGAATTTTTCTTATTCCTTTCCCTTGTACATCTGTAAGCATCACATATGAAATTTAAAAAAAGGTGGGAAAATAACCTAAATTATACAGGTTGTGGACCACTAACACTGTGAAGCTTCCTAAACTGAGAAACAGTGTTAGTAAGACTTTTCAAATACCTTTGGATCATGGGTTAGACAGGGTGCACAGTGTGTCCTTATCCTGCAGTGTGCAGACTAGACAGTGTGTTTGATATTTACCTTGAGCTACAGTCTAAGAGACAACCCCACTGTGTAGGCAAGGTACTGTTTGACCTACATAGGGGTGGCACAATCTGGTTCACAGCTTGCAGTATCTGAATTGTGGCAAATGTAGCAGGAGGCTTTAGAAAACTCCTTGTTAATTTCTTTTAAATAAAAAGTTTTTAGTAATTGTTCACACTTGAGTCTGATCCTGAAAACAACCGGCAGCTTTCCTCAGGCATTAACTGCCATTTGCCCAAAAGCTCTGGCCACCGGTGGGTGCCGGGCACCCACTGCCCGTGCTGCAGAAACTCTGGGTTAACTACAGGTAGTCTGCTGCACACTAGATTTACTAAGTGAGCTTTTTATATACAGGATTGTGTGTGCCTCTCCCATTTACCTGTGTTTGAAAATATATTTAATTATCCTTTCAAGCCTGTGACTTTTAATGACCAGTTTCCAAATGAATGACTGACAAACCCAGAATCACAACAGGGGCGAGTAATAGAGTAACAAAAAGCATGCTATACTCA